GCGGAACACTTTCGTTTTGTTTGAACACCGGAATAATGGTGACGTCATTTTCTGAAAAGATCACTTCTCTTTTTTGGACGTACCTCGATCACAATGATTCTGAATCGAGAAAGTTGGCTACCTTTTATTTTACGTACCCGTACTCTACTAACACGGTGGACAATGCGGTGGTCTGTGACGTGTGTTTCTTTTGTTGCTGGGATTGATATACAATCAGAGAGACTAGTTTGAGAGAGAGAGAGAGAGAGAGAGAGAGAGAGAGAGAGAGAGAGAGACAGAGAGAGAGAGCGAGAAGGAGAGAAATAGAGAGAGAAAGAGAGAAAAAGAGAGAGAAAGAGTGTGTTTGTGTGTGTGTGTATGTGTGTGTGTGTGTGTGTGTGTGTGTGTGTGTGTGTGTGTGTGTGTGTGTGTGTGTGTGTGTGTGTTTGTGTGTGAGTCAGCGTCTGTGATGTAGCAGTAATTGTGCTTCGCCGCGCCATTATACACACAAAAGATATGAGTTCGAATCCAGAACGAGGAGGATTTAATCTAGTAACTTGGTCTGCTGGGACGTTGTACCGCCGTTCTTTTCTCTCTCTCTACAAAAAAACAAAAACACACAAAAAAGAACCCCAAAAACAACTTCGCTGTTCTGATGCACGCAGCGGTCGCGCAAAGGAAGGACAAACACCACTTTTGCTCGAGTTGAGTGCGTTTGCAACTTTTTCTCCTTGCTTTTCATTTGTTTTTACGCTCTTTTTCATATTTTGCCCTACTTGTTTGGAATAGGCTTCCAAAAACTATCAGAGAAGCAGAAAATCTAGACATTTTAAAGAAGAAACTAAAAGCATTTCTATTTTCATCATATTTCGATTAGACAGAATCCACCCAAGCTGTAGATCGTTGTGAGTTTGCATGTGCATATGTACGTATGTGTGTAGGTGTGTACGTATGTGTGTATGTGTATGTGGTGCGTGCGTGCGTGAATATGTGTTTGCACGAGTATGTAACACTATATACCTTTAAAATTGATTTGTAAATCCATAATATGTATCATGTTAAGCGCATAGAGCATTGCATGAGTGGATATGCGCTATATAAATGCAATCCATTATTATTATTATTATTTTATTACTCTTAGGCATCAAATAAGCGCCCCCCCCCTCTCTGCTCCTTATTCCATACCCCCCGTTTATTATTTTCCAGTTTGCCACAGACTGATGATCATGTGAAACATAATTACAATCTAGAATCTAAATATCTGAATGAAACTTCTTTTTTTGTGTGTGTAAATGACAAATTGCCCTCAGTATGAGTAGGCTTACCGGTTCCAGGTTAGCTACCTCAATTTTCTGAGCATTTAAAAAACTTTTGAACTTTGGTTTATATTTTTTTTATGAAACTGGTTTGTTCCTACATAGGAGTAGGAGAAGTTGTCACAGTAACTTTCTAAAATCACTGAAAATTTCATGATCTCTTGTTCTTTTATTCACTGAAGGAGAAATAAAACAGATGTGTTCCTACTAGAACAGGGGTACGATCCGAGATTAAATATGCCCCCCCCGTTTATTCGATACCTCAGAGTAAGTAGAGGTAAATGGTGTACTCCATGGCGAGCCAAAACGACGTCGGGGAGCACAGCTTTGGATCTGACAATGCTTAATCTCAACAACGGGGAAAAGCTATCGAGACTTCTCGACTTAATCCAGTGCCCTTGGAGGGCCAACTGCCCACACAACAACACATCACTGCCGGTCTGAACTACCCAGGTACGAATATGAAAACACAAGCACATAGAAATCTTGTTTTTTCTATTTTGTGCCTGTCACGCCTCGTTAGACAAATCTGGGACATTGCAGCGACAGAATACATTGACTCAGTGAGAGAGGAGGATCGAAGGCAGGGGCGATTATCCGAACTATGATCTTTACATCAGTGCTCACCAAATTACCTTTCAGAACTTATGGAAATGTACGCACCATCTCGTTATTTTAAGATCTTCAAATGACCATCAGCTCCGCATGCCTAGGTCCAGAAATGTTGGGTGAAGAAAGGGCCTTTTCCATCTGTGCCCCAAAACTTTGGAACAATTTGGATTTAGATGTTAAAATGTCTCTTTCAATTGATCAATTT